CAATCTTGTCCCGGTATGCTGATAGCAACCTTCTCAACGGATCACGAACTACTACAAAAGTACGTTTTTCTTCGCCGGTCGGGGTCATCTTGGGGATGAAATTTATAAAAATACAGCAGGTTGCAATGAGTCATGATTCTTTAATTTGTTTAGTATTTATAAAGCAATAAAAAAAAATTAGCCAGATTTTTTACATCTCACCGGCTCTCTAAAAAACTTAGAACTTCTGTAGAGTGTGGCTCCGTTAATAGTCTTGTCCCGACAGATTCCTTCTCGGAAGTAGTCTCTGCAAAAGTGAGCTAGCACGTTAGAAGACGCTGCTTTGTAAACTGGACACCAACCCAAGTTGGATTTCCTGAGAAAACAGATACTACAATCTACTACTACTAGTACTATTGTAGTACTAGTATTGTAACTAGCTTTAATACTTCCAACACTACTATATAACAAATAATTTGAGAATATGAGTATGACGTAGAAATGTCGATACGTTATTCGGCTATTTATTTCCATTAGAATCTGTCTTCACTGAGTCTATTCAGAAACAATCAGAAATTTGAATGAAAGAACTATCAAATCATGAGACTCAATAACACTACACGAATCCACCAGATTAGCTTGGAAGTGAAGAAATTCAATATATGCGTATCGTATATTATTATTTTTAGACCAACTATTTCAACGCCGGATAACAAAATTTAGAATCAATCTCTACCATACCTGAAATGAAAGATCTCGAATATCTTAGACAGTCTCGGATTGTTTTTGCACTGTTTCTCTACCCACATTAACCTTCGCTCATTCTCTTTCAGGAATAATCTGGTTAAGGAGAAATATCAGTTACCAAATGAAATAATCCAAAGGGTTATTAGTTCAAGGGATTTTAATTAAGGGATGATGTGTTGAGATCGGAAATATGTGATTAAGACCATAATCACCCATCGGTGTGGACGAAACTCCTATATTTTCGATATTAGATTTGGATTTATATTGATCCGTTAAAATCTAAATCTTTTCTATTTGATAAATCCAATAAGATACATTGATTTCAAAATTCTGATCATGGTTTGGAAACCGGGCGGAAATCCGGCGAATTTAAAATGGCTATGATATAAATACACTTACTCTGTACTTTCGCAATATTCTTTTACACCCATATCCTTCTTTGTGGAATTTTCTCGACTAATGTTCCGGAGACTTGAGTAGCTTTCGTTATCTACTTTTGATTTCTTGAAGATGTCCAGGCTCTGGGACAATTAGCGAATTATATGACAAATCAGTCAAAAGGATTATCACAATTCAGAGTATGAATCTTTCAAATGTTACGTTAATTATTCTAAATTCTTGGGAAATAGTCACTGACATGATCGAGATGTACGGTATTAAAGCCTTGTTAAATATGACATAATTTGTGGGCTCAGAGAATTAATTCTATTACTATTGGGGCTTTTATTTGAGCACGTTTAGACTAAAAGGTGACTATACTATAACTTCAATTGCAGTAATGTGTGGGTTCACAACTCACCTCGCATGGTGTCAAATTCGAGCTGGCTTTACTAAAATACGCATGGAGAGCAAACAAGACCAGGAACAAAGCTGTTAATCCGAAAAAATTAACCTTGTTCAATTTCATGGCGCAAAACTTAACCTGAAAGTTAGCAACAATCTTTACAATTTGGTATTTTTGCTGAGACATCGGAAAATCAAACGTTTCAGAATCTTTGTCAGACATTTCTATTTTCTATCAGTCATTAAGATTTAAGTGCAGACTGACGTGGTATTCCTGACATAGGCGGAGTCGGTGCAAGCTGCCCGTAGTTGCAAAATACTAAAATGAGGCACTTTTAAACTTAGGAAAGGTGTGCTCTAAAAGCCACCTCTCTTTAAAGTTAATGGCTTGTAGGTCTCAAAGGGAAATTCCATGTTGCAGCACAAAGTAAGTATACTTACTTTATGTTACTTTAAGTTTAGGTATATTATCAAATTTAATAAAATATTTTCCCTGGTTGAACATTAAAATAAACCTCTTAGCGGACGGATGACCAAATTGTGTGACGGAATCAACTGTAGCACTTTTTAGCACTGCCCCCAAAGTTTTAACCTCAGTGACCTCGTGCCCCAGTACTCTTATCACGAGGGTCTCGTAAAATTGTGACTAGGTGTCCCAGTGAAGCTTCCTCTACCATAATTCTTAATTCAACTCTTAAAGCTGAGGTAGAACGGAGGTTTAAGGTTAAATTGAAGGAAGTACAGTAACAGTACGACAGGGAAGACTACTAGAACGAAAGTAATTTGTGATTGAACGGTCAAAATGACCCATGGTGAGCGACGAAAGCTGAGTTAACATGACAACTGCAAACTGATAAACTTCAAATCAATACCAGATTTCACTGAACGCAGCCTTGGGGTCACAGTCACTAGGCACGGCGCCCTGGGCACAATGCCCTTGAGTATGAAGCGCTGGGGCACAATGCCCTTGAGCACGAAGCGCTGGGGCACAATGCCCTTGAGCATGAAGCGCTGGGACACAATGCCCTTGAGCATGAAGCGCTGGGGCACAATTACAAAGTCCTGTGATCTGACATTGTGTAGAACGACACGTTCTGCAGTTCTGTCGAACTGCAGTCACTAAGGTTCGACAAATGGTTTCCCTTAATAGTTAATCTTCAAAAGTCTGATTAAACTGCATTGGTGAAACTTAGTTGGTGGAACTCATGTAACAGATGGTATGTAAGGGAAGTGAGCCCATCTAGAATTGCTGAATCACAGAACGTCACCACGAGGGATACTGCCTAAACAAAAAGCGTGATGAGAAGTCCTACTGAAAGTGTGTCACAAGACTAGCTTCGGCCACCTTACTCTTATAGACCACTCCTCTGTCCTGCGTACAAAACCTTTGGTACCCAAAGCAAGGAGCACGCTATCTTGGATATTCAGTGTGTTCAAAACTCGCGGCAAGACCGTAATGACTACTCAGACTCTCTACAAGTCACCAGTAAGAAGCCTACTGGAGTATTGCTGCCCACTCTGGAGCCTTACTAAGCTGATAGTGATAGAGGGGGTGCAAACCAGTCGTATTGGCGGTCTTCAGCATCTCAACTATAGAACTATTGGTAAAGACTCGTATAGCTTAAATTGATGTCTCTACAGCGCAGACGGGAGAGGTATATCATTCTGATGATGTGGAAGATTCTCCATAATGTGGTACCAAACTGCTGACGCTGTGATAGCAAGTTCAAGGTGACCCCAAGACACGGTGATGTAGCTATCATACCCTCATTTTCAAAGTCAAGTTCCTTGCGCAACCAGTCACTGTACGACAGGTCTTTTGCAGTTCAAGGACCGAAGCTGTGGAAAAAGATGCCTCACACAGTAAAGGCTGATACATCCTTTGACATGTTTAAGTGTAGTTTGTCGAACTTTCTTGCTTTGATACCGGACAACCCTCCGGTCGCCGGCTACAGCTCTGCAGTTGGTCAAAATCACTGCAGCTGACTACTCGCCATCCAGGTGGTCATCCGGCTCCACGGATGAACTGAACGAGGTAAGTAATTCTGGACAAGCGGCCTCCTGATGCGACAAATTCCACTGTACGCTTCAACATAATATATTGCTAGTTGCATTTTGTCAATGAAGTCCAATGACGTCAAACATACACTGTCTGATAATCACAAATCAGGGCCACGAGGTCAATATTGGGTTTGGGATTGTCCACATGTTACATATGCAGTAAGCCTTTTTTTCATTTAGACCTCCCTATCCTTAACCCACTTTACACATGGCTATTGATTTTTGTGAGGACCCACATTACCTCAATCTAGTGCTCTAGTGCCTACTGCCTAGTGACCACTTCTAAAAGTCAAGTTTCTACAACCTTCCTAGCTCCATTTTTATTTCGGGAGTTTCGGTGAGCCGTCCCCTTCAATAATATCGAGTAAAACAATTTAAATATTATCTGATATCTATGTTTATTGAAAATACATATCGTCAAAATAAGATTGTTCATCTTTTGTACAAAAATAATTATTTTACAGAACAATGAAAAAAAAAATCAAACGTATCGGCACTTACAGGACGTTGGTATACAGAATTCATGCTGCTCTGTATTCAACTTGATTCAACCTTTTCTATTTATCTGTTGGTTTACCGATTGTGGGAAAACAAAAGTTGACAATGAATTCATTACAATTTAGTGCAAATTAAAATACAGAAAGAAAACAAACATGCGCTACAACTTCCATTGTATTTATGTTTTACCTACGAAGTTAGGTGTAAATTAAATTAAATGATATTTTCTGATATCCCTGAAAGTGGGTAAACCCTTGGGCCGACGTGTTTTGCTCTTCAAGGACAAACTTTGTGGGTGTGGTGCGTGCAGATACGTTATAACCGTTTTGATGCATCCACCACCGTACGCGTACTCATAGATTCTCCAAAACACTTGCTGCAGTTTCACCTTCAGCGATGCTAAATGATAATATCAAAGCGTTCGGTATTTTATTCTGGTCCACATTGCGCTTCGACTAATTATTAACCTTGCAAGGTGCATTTATATGCCACCATGTATCTACCCTGTATAACTGCTAAACCCTCTACATAGCAGTAGTCTCAAACTCCGAGTGGATACTTTCCACCTCAACAGAATCCCCGTACCTGTTCTCTAGATAGCAGTAGTCTCAAACTCCGAGTGGATACTTTCCACCTCAACAGAATCCCCGTACCTGTTCTCTAGATAGCAGTAGTCTCAAACTCCGAGTGGATACTTTCCACCTCAACAGAATCCCCGTACCTGTTCTCTAGATAGCAGTAGTCTCAAACTCCGAGTGGATACTTTCCACCTCAACAGAATCCCCGTACCTGTTCTCTAGATAGCAGTAGTCTCAAACTCCGAGTGGATACTTTCCACCTCAACAGAATCCCCGTACCTGTTCTCTAGATAGCAGTAGTCTCAAACTCCGAGTGGATACTTTCCACCTCAACAGAATCCCCGTACCTGTTCTCTAGATAGCAGTAGTCTCAAACTCCGAGTGGATACTTTCCACCTCAACAGAATCCTCGTACCCGTCCAGGAAGGCCTTGATACTGATGATACCCTTATCAGCCACCTGTTGCGGAGGCAGAGTGAGCTGGTTGTTGTTTGTCTTCAGTTCCACTCTCTCACTAAACTCACTGATGGTGGTGGGGAGTCTGGTCAGCTTGTTATCACACACGTCCACCAGCTCTATGTTCACCAGCAGGGAGATTGATTCCGGGATTGTTTCTATGTAGTTGTGTTTCACTGATAAGACTCGGAGGTTCTGGAGCTGACCTATTGATGTGGGTACCTCTGTCAGGGAGTTGCCGTCCATGAGGAGGCCAACTAGATTAGATAACGAGGATAAAGTGTCAGGGATATACTCTATTCTGTTGTTGCTTAGACTCAGATACTTTAGTGTTGTTACCTCACTCATTTCGTCTGGTATGGCTGTCAGGCGATTTCCATCAAGTTGCAAGATTCTGATTGACTCAAGCTGTGATATTGCGGCTGGTATAACCTTGATCCTGTTCATTGCCAGCCCCAGAACTACTAAATTATGGCAAGGTGCCAATAATGACATGTCCAGTTTTCTGATCTTGTTGTTGAAAAGAAGAAGATCTCTGAGGTAGGGCAGACGTGCGATGACCGGAGGAACTGCTACGAGTTTATTTCCACTGAGGCAGAGAGTCAGTAGTCTAGGTACTCTTTCAAGTTCAACAGGGAGTGTTTCTAGCTCGTTGTTCTCGACATGAGTTCCCTCAAACAACCCAGGTTTCCAATGTCCGGGGGAAGGTCGGTCAAACTGTTCTCTGAGAGGTTCAAAACGTTCAGCTTCTGTAGCAAGCAAATGGACGGAGTCAGCATCTCTAACATGTTATCATCAAGATAAAGTTTCCTTAAGTTCTCTAGTTTCCCGATCAAACTGGGAATCTCTTCTATAACATTTGAAGACAAGTCAAAGAACTTTAATTTAACCAAACATTTGAAAGATATGTTGTCGATGTTTTTCAAGTTATTGCAGGACAAATCCAGTTGTTGCAAACTGTTTTTACAGGGAAGAAGAGAGATGTGGGAGATGTTGTTCCCCTTCAGTCGGAGGCATCTCAGGTATCGAGGTAAGGTGTTCAGTTCAACATGTTCCAGAGAATTGTTGTCTAGGTCGAGGAACCTCAGTTTTGGTAGATCAAGCAGTGCTGGTTGAAATTCTAGGAGCTCGTTGTCGTCCAAACTAAGCTTTTCTAGGTTCACTAAGTTTGCCACCTAAGGATGTTATTGTTACTTTAAAGAATGATCTGAATTTATCTATTTGTTCCTTTGCTACAAATCATATGTAGTGAGAGCTAGTTAAGTTACTGTTTGGGAGCATAGCTTCAACAAGTTGCTGAGGAGTTAATATAAACATTGAAATATTATGATAAAAAGGACATATTATAACACATTCATATTATAACACATTCACATTCACAATGAGCACGTCAAGATTTGATAAACTGACGACAATTGACATGCTGCGTATACAATGTACAATTTGCAATGTACAATGTACAATGTACAATGTAAGAATGTACAATATGATATTATGGAACTAAACCTCTCTGGGGACCTCCTGGAGATGGTTGCTGCTAAAACTCAGTACCCTCAGAGTAGTCAGACTGAAGATTGAGAAGGGGATGTTCCGTAGTAGGTTCCCTCGTTTACAAGTGCTCTCTTCACTACACGACTGTCCGAATGTCAGGTCTTCTAGGCTCTGAAACCAAGGTTACTCAGGTCAGTAATCTGTTTTTCTTAAGATATAGCTTGGATCTTTCTCTCTCTGGCTCGATTATAGATCTTAAATGGTAGATCTTAAATTTTACTATAATATACATAGTTGATCTAACTGTATGATTTTCATTTGTAAAATACCTGAAACGAGCTCCAAATGTCCGGAACATGACAAGGAGAACTTTGCCTGGACTTCACAGTCCCCAGAACATTTTCCTCTCTTGCATAACTATCGAACTGCAGACTGTTCCCACTCAGGTCAAACCAAACGCACTTCTCTGCTATGCGACTCTCGAATATGTCTGTTCTTATCTCGTTGATGCTCTGCCACGCAGCGTTAATCCCTAACTTGCTATCCTCCTCCTGAACAGAATCAAATTAACTTTGATTCACCATACTCAAGTTCAAGTAGATCACTGAACATAATTATAATGCTGTATAATAAATCCTAAACCATCATTGTTTGTGTTGTGTAATTCATAGTCGTATAGAGTCATACCCTAGTTGTCAAGGAAACAATAAGGTCATCCGTAAGGTTCACTTTCATCTTGTCAGCAGCCGTCTCGATACGGAATTCAGGAAAATCTTCCGCTGTGATGTCTTCAATGTCCCCTTCACCAGTCGCCGGTGTACCAAATGATAATCCTCCAGTTGCTAAAAAGTAAAAAGTAAACATTACTTGCTGTCATGTGACTGTGATCAATTCTGTCGACAGAGGTTTGGGCCATTTACTTTTAATTTTGGTCAAAGTTCACGATCACTCTAACCAGAGGGTAATCAGAGGTTAACTGTTGCAACTATTATTAGTTGTAATACCTTCGCTGTTTCGTGCCCGCGCGTTCCCTCCAACAAGCGGTCGGGAATTAGATCGCGCTCAGCACTCAGTAGCGAAGGTATTATAGTATTATGATATTCCGTACTTGTTATGGTGAGCATGCGTTCTGACAAGGTGCCTTCAGAAAAGAGGGCGTGGTCCTCCGCGCCAGTGTTATATCTAGACAGAGCTGCTCCATTTAGAAAATCTCGTTCTATCTGTATGAAAGATGAAGCTAATGTAATATCAGTTTCATCAATGCTATTTGATAAATGTTTTCAAATCCATGATTGTCCTGCAAGAATTAAAAAGAATTAAAGATATTATTGACGGAAGTGAACTTAAAAAATGTTACCTGCGACTCCATGAGACTACGTTGAAGAGCTTCTTTGTAAGCATCGTTCTTAGCAGAAGAAGTGGATTTGGCACGCTGGTCCTGTTGCAACTCCTGTGATGGGTTAGTGTAGACTTCATACCTTGAACCTTGGGACACTATCATCTCAACTATCAGACACAACGATCACAGTGATCGTTACAAACGCTTAAAGAAATGAGCGAAACAAGACCCTGAGTAAGTGTAATGTGTATTATTCTGGCACGTTTCAGCTGCTCGGGAGGTAAATAGAGCGACTTGATTAGTTTTCTTAAAATGTGTCACCACGACACGGCACGACAGTCAAACGCGGGCATGTTCATCAGTTACGTAACTTCTACAACGTCCTGCAGTCAAGCTGTGAGGGTGACAAATAAAGTTACTTACGCTTCCATTTGTTGTTAGGCTAGAACGAAGAGATGGTTGAGGGTGAACTTTAGTGGAACTCCTCAGAGAATGGGTGGATTTAATAGATTTGGCAGGCATTCTTAGTCATTGTATTCCTGCGAGTTACCTACCATTTTCAGCAACAACAACAAATTTTGGAAATGTACTTCAAGAAAGTAAAAGTGCGTGCGGCACACGGCGAATAATATTATTAGCGGAAACGAACAGCTTAGACTTATCGCAGAGTCACATAATGAAATAAAAGTATATCTAACAAGCAATAGCATTCATCTCTCTTGCAGCTCGGTTTATTTCAAGAAAAACTCTCCACGATCAGTTGTTGGGCGACCATCAGTGCAGACATAGGTACTATACGACAAACACACACTGATGCCTCTTCTTTTCTGTTTTCGCAAAAAACACGTCCCCAAGAAAAACACACAAAAAAACAGTTTGTCACAGCTTTCCAAAGTCGAGTTTGACAAGCAAGTCACATTGTGATCTACAATGTGGCAGCAATTTGGGAGGAGTTCTACAAATTTTAAATTAATGCGTACATGTTTTGAAGTTTTGACGTGAAGGCCGTTTTAACACGTGGTGGAAACACGTCACTCTCAAGAGATGTGACGCAGTTCTCACTGTCGTTATAGCAGCTTTACCAAATAGTGAGGTGTTTACTTGCGTGGGCCACTTTTAACTCTTATCTATCACAGTGGATACGTGTGATTTGTTAACAAATCATCCGAGTAAAGTGTTAAATTTATTGATGGGATCTTTTGACGAGAATCTATGCCGTTTTTCTGCTTGGTAAGACCTCACTGATATGCATTGTGTAAATTGTAGACGCACATTATACGAATGAATGAGAAGAACAAAGTATAATTAACTTATGAGATATTCGTCAACATGGTCAATTTGCCTAGGATGGCAATCAGTATAGATGAAGTAGCTGGGGTTCAGTCTTGTGCACCAAGCACAATTTGTCTGGCTGAACAATAGGATGATGAGATGGTGTGTACATGGAGCATAGTTAATTTCAGGCAATTTGCCAATCTACAAAATTAAAACACAAGGAAAAACCTGTACATGATATTTTCAAGAGGTCACCACTCATCCCTGTAGGATTCTTGCTGGCATTTCATGAAGTTTCGATTTCTCTACCAGTCACGATAACTGATTAGTAACTTTACTTCATATTTCTCTACCAGTCACGATAACTGATTAGTAACTTTACTTCATATTTCTCTACCAGTCACGATAACTGATTAGTAACTTTACTTCATATTTCTCTACCAGTCACGATAACTGATTAGTAACTTTACTTCATATTTCTCTACCAGTCACGATAACTGATTAGTAACTTTACTTCATATTTCTCTACCAGTCACGATAACTGATTAGTAACTTTACTACATATTTCTCTACCAGTCACGATAACTGATTAGTAACTTTACTTCATATTTCTCTACCAGTCACGATAACTGATTAGTAACTTTACCTCATATTTCTCTACCAGTCACGATAACTGATTAGTAACTTTACTTCATATTTCTCTACCGGTCACGATAACTGATTAGTAACTTTACTTCATATTTCTCAAGAAACACAACATTGTTTGTTCGAATTTTGCTTTCTGCCATGGCTAAAGCATGGACCAAAGCTCGTTTAGTGAACGAAGCTGCATACAGATTGAGTGGTTCCTTACGTCAGAGGAGACCCAGGTAACATATTTCATATTCCAGTCTGGATCCGGATCCGGTCGGTTCCTATATTCCAGTCTGAGGCATGCAAACAACGTCTGAATTTTATACTCCTTAACTGACGTTGAATTACATAATTTATTACATAAAGTCCTTATTTCCAATCTAACAAATATCTATGTCATCAACAATTCCCCTAAGATTAGTTTTTGTCTTGGTTTAACCTCAAGTTACCCCTCGCAGCGTGTATCTGGAGAGAGAACTGCTATCTTGTCCCCGCCGGAACAGCAGCCTATCCTCTGAGAAGGATGACGACCCCAAACGACTAGTCCGGATATTTGAGGAGGACGGCCTCATCGACATACCTACTTTTCTCAATGTACGTCAAGCGCTAACCATGATCGTTTCAGTTTTAGTTATTTTGTGAAGGTTATTTAATCTACATCAGGACGTTTTGAATCTGTTTACTTATTGTAATATATAATTATAATGTTAGCTTAGATGTTCGAACCATGTCGCTGATGACTTTCAGAATTTAGGGAAAAGTGGGTTAAGATCTTCTACTGATCCAAGACTTAGAAACGTTGCAAGAAAACTCGAGGAGGTTGTCAGCGAACGGGCACTAGAAAATGGAGACACTTTGATTCCTTTCGAAACTTTTTGGGAGTAAGTTTTTCATAACATTGTGAGGGTCTAATTCCCTTACTTGTAAGTAGTACGTACTGACCAGTTCGCACACACGTGCTGGCTACTGGAAACTGGTTACTTATAGATTATAGAATGTAGGTGATCACAGTTCGTACACACGTGTTGGCTACTGGAAACTGGTTACTTATAGATTATAGAATGTAGGTGATCACAGTTCGTACACATGTGTTGGCTACTGGAAACTGGTTACTTATAGATTATAGAATGTAGGTGATCACAGTTCGTACACACGTGTTGGCTACTGGAAACTGGTTACTTATAGATTATAGAATGTAGGTGATCACAGTTCGTACACACGTGTTGGCTACTGGAAACTGGTTACTTACAGATTATAGAATGTAGGTGATCACAGTTCGTACACACGTGTTGGCTACTGGAAACTGGTTACCTACACTTTACAGATTATAGAATGTAGGTGATCACAGTTCGTACACATGTGGTGGAAACTGGAAACTGGTTACTTACAGATTATAGAATGTAGGTGATCATAGTTTTTACAAAAGACTAAAAAGTCTTAGAAATTTATGATAAAGAACGATAGTCTAAATCACAATAGTTTGAAGTAACGTTCGACATCGACACCTCTGTATTTATCTTTGAATAGTTTAATTGTTTTTTAGTAAACAATTTCTCACCTGTTTCAAATGAAAGATCCGTTTTTACGTTCAGGATAATCGAGTCGGAGATAGAGCTGGTTAACAAAGCGCTGAGCGGTAACCTGGTGATCCCTGACTTTGTGTCCTTCACTTCACAGATTGAAAGTTGTTTCAGGAAGTGTGGTGGTGGAACACTGGATAAGCACAGCACTACCTTACAAAACACCACGGTACACATTTTCATTATTTTTATTAGAGGATTTCGGAATTACTATCAGCTGGTTCCTTATTTCATTACACAAAAAGTATCATAATCCAAATACTAGAGGTTCTAGTCTGGCTATACTCAAATATCCGTGATGGATTAAATATGAAATATGGAACCAGCTGTGGTTGCTACGGTGGTGATCGCGACTTCCAAAACTTAGAATCCACCATTAACACTTTCTAATTAAAGAACATTCTTACAGAAATTAAATATCTTTCCCCGCGCTGAAATTAAGCAATCGTGGCCGGACTTTTAGCTTACCTTGTATGAATTAATTCTGGCTAATCGTACTAATTGAGAAATAAATATTCCGTAAGACAAATTATTTACATGTATTAAATTCTGATTTAACTATTTATCTAGCTCGGTGCAGCCCACTGCAGAACGTGTCATATGATGCACACCGGTGTTCCCATATTCCATAATGACAGTTGTGAGTTGGGGTAATACTAGTTCTAGTATTCGGAGAAACTAGTCTCAAATTTGAGAATGATTGGCCCACGTACTACATAAAGACCGTCTAGTGGCTGTACTAAAGACTTATATTTAGTACCGTTATAGCTCTGGTACTGGTAGGACAGCATTATACAGGGACTGGCAGGTGTAGGGTACCTGCTGCCACAGTTTTAATTATAACAGACCACGGTTAATATGCTAGCCTCAGGTTTTAGGAGCTTAGAAATATAAAGGACCATTTATTGCCTCAGCATCATTGACTCTCGTTCCCAGAATTATGTCGGATATTAGTGACGCGGAAAGATATACCCTAACTGTTTGGTGCGGGGTTTTATTGTGTTTGTCGATTCCTGGTAACATCACCATGCTGTCTGCATTGAACTGCAAAGCAATAAAATTGGACAAAACTTCCTTGACACTGATTGAACATTTAGCAATTGCAGACCTAGCGTACGCCTTGTTCAACACCCTTCCAGCACTCATATCAACACTAACTGATCGCTGGATCCTCGGGGATCTCCTCTGTAATCTGACCTATCATGTGGGGTTCTACTTAGCCTATGCTTCTGGATACCTACTGACCGGTTTTAGTGTCAGTAAGTTGCTGAGTCTAATGTTTCCTCTGAGGGCCCGACTGCGAACTCGACGCACTGCTAAGTTTGTAGCTGCTTCCTTGTGGCTCTGCTCACTGCTACACTTCGTGTTTGATCCCAATGAAGCTAAGTACAATTATAGTACCTTTCGTTGCTTAGGGTTTGCTGAAGAGGATCGGTTCATTCAGATGGTTCTGTGCACTGTCTTCAAAGCAGCTCTTCCTCTCATCATTATATCCGCAGTAACAGTTCATCTTCTTTGGGTTGTTAAAAAGGCTGCTGGACTCAAGCGACAAACATTCCTCACTCTGATGGCAATCTCGGGAGTCTTCATCATTTCAGTTGTCCCTTTCATGATATTCATCATACTAAAGCAAGCTGGAGTTGTCCAATTTGATAATTCAACAGCTCGGGTCTTAAGGTTCACGGTATTTATAGGATATCTCAACTTTAGCTGTAATCCTATCGTGTACTTTCTAACCATCACAAGTTTTTCAGAATATGTGATGGCAGGTTTTAAAAAGTTCACTATAAAAAACGCTTCATAATCTCTCGGTGCTTTTTTAACGACGCGACTGTTACAAACTATAATAATTTTCTATGATCTGCCTAAATGAGTAGATATTCTACGCGTTTTAGCCCATGATTGAGCTGAGAGTGAGACTATTATAGCCATTACCTTGGAAAATTGACAGAATTTAAATATGTTTGCTTGTAAAAGTACATCAGTTTTAGAACAATTAATGATAATTTGATTGCGTATTATGTTTTGACCTGCATTCTGATGATGATGTTGATCTTTGAAATTCATTTTGCAGAAACCTAGTGTCTCTTCGTCACTTCAGGAAAACTAAAATAACGTTTAACAGTGTTTATCACAATCATTTATTATTGAACATTCAATGAAACTCTTTGTATG